AGTTCCTGATATCCTTTATGGGTCCCGGGAGCTAGACAAGGCCCCCAGGAGGGAGGGGGGCGAACTGTTCGCTGTCCTCGGCGTCCAAGCCCACCGCCGCCGCATGTAGGTACGTGTCGTGCAATAGGAAGCACACATATAGCAAAGCTCATGGGGGATCGACCGAATTTCTGGAGCAAGGCGGTGGGTGCGAGAGAGGGAGAAAGATGCGGCTGTCCGCCAATCTCATTTTGTTTGCTTTTTTTTTTCTTCTTTTTTTCTGACACGTCCACTCACGGTCCACAACCCTTGCAAGACATCGTCCATGGCTGCCTGCCTTTTTTTTCTTTTTTTTCTTCTTTTTTTTTTCTTTCTCTGTGCCCTTGTAGTTCCTCAAGGCCGCCGGCCCGCAGAGTGGCTGCGGCCACGTCCCAAGCGGCTGGGCCGCCGTCTAGTTGGTGGGAAAGGGTAGTGAGTACCTCGTACCGAGCGGTCGGTAGTAGAAGAAGAGGCGGCCCTCCCTCCCCACACAAGGTCTTCCGAGTAGGTAGGTAGTCGTCTCGAACGCTTTCCGTTCCGGGCCCTTTTCGTTTCTCCTGTAAGGAACTTTGACGCGCCCTTAGAGAGCGGCCCTTCGCCACCGTCACTTCCCTACCCGCGAGCTACTGGAAGGGCTAGCTTAGGATCCGGTCCCTTGACCCCTGGCTGGCTACTCGAGCCCAAGCTTCATTGCTGGGAATCTGCCGAGACACGGCTCGTGGCCACCATCATGTCGGAGTAAGAAACCAAACCCTTTCAACCAGTTCTGCGAATTCGCTTGCAGAAGAGACGAGCAGGAGCAAAGAGAAGTTCCTCGGGCTTATCAAGAAAACTCACCCTTCCCGCCCAGCGATCCCCAAACCGAAGACCTCGACCCGTACTACCAGCAGACCGTCGACTTGGGCGGCCGCGAGTACCAGAGATATGCGATAGAAAACGGCGCTTACTTTGTGCCCGTCGACGAGGTAGAGTGACCTCGTCTCTGTGAATTGGGGGAGTTTTGAGCGCAAGAAAAAAAAAGGGGGGACGGCTAAAACGAAACCGCCACCGCGCCTGCTTCTCTCCTTTTTTCTCAGGACGAAGAGGAACGGCTCAGGCTCATGCACGACGTCTTCCAGCTCCTTTTCGATGGAGCCTTGATTTTCCCTCCGATCCGAAACCCGCGGCGGATCCTCGACTGCGGCTTCGGCACGGCATCATGGGCCGTGGAAGTGGCTGAGGCCCACCCAAACTGCATTGTAGGTGTGTTGAGGTGGCGATTTGGCCAAGGAATTTCACGCTGCGACCCAAAGAGAAGAAGAAGAGTGTGCCTAACCAGGGAAGCTCGCCGTCTTCTTCAGGTGAATGGAGTCGACATTAGCCCACTGATGGCGCCCGAGGAGCCGCCCGAGAACGTCGTGCTCGACGTCGACGACCTGAACCGCGCGTGAGAAATCTCTCTCTGCCTCCTTCTTTCTCCCTCCCTCACTCCCTCCAAAGCCTCGCCAAGCAATGCCCAGCGAGCGAGCCGCTGACCGTACCCCGTCGACCAAAAGGGGCCTCTCGTTCGAGCACAACACGTTCGACATTGTGCACAGCCGCATGGTGGCCGGCGGCATCCACGCCGACCGGTGGCCGCGGTACATACGCGACATCCGCCACGTCCTGCAGCCCGGCGGGTGGTGCCAGATGGTCGAGATCTACTTTAACGCGCAGAGCGATAACGGGACGCTCACAGAGAGTAAGGCTTTATGTTTTTGGTTTGTGACGAACGAAAGAGAGGCCCCAGCACCGAGCCTAACGAGTCCCAAAAAAAAAAACACAGACCATGCCCTCCGACAGTGGTCCTCGAGATACCTACAGAGCATGGTGCCCTACAAGGACCCGAGGAGCCCCCTGAACCTCGCCACCTTGATGACCGAGGCCGGCTTCACAGACGTCCAGAGCATGGTCTACAGGCTGCCCATGAGCGCGTGGTCTTCTGGTTCGACGCAAATCCCTCTCCTACTTTGTGACCCCGTGAAAACAAAGCGTGCTGGACTGACTGGGCGGCCTGGACGCTCCCCGAAGACCCTAGGGAATATGCTATCGGAGTGGCCAACCGGGACAACGTTCGCCGTCTCCTAGGCTCGCATGCCATGTACCCATTCACGACCAGGCTAGGGTGAGTGGGCAGGAGGAACCATGGCTGCTCCGGACCAGACCGTAACGGTGAGGGGACTGACTAGCAGTTGCTTTTGTTTTCCAAAGCATGTCCGTCATAGAAGTCCAACTGCTTGTGGCGCGGGCTCGACATGAGGCGGATAATCCGGCCTTTAAGGTACATGGCTTTCTCCCTCTTGAAACGGGTGTTGATTGACAGGATCCATAACGCAATGTTTCATGCTAACCTGGCATCACCCCTTCCAATCGACCTGGCAGGCATATTTCCCCGTGTAAGTACAAACTTCACCCATGCCGCCGTGGAATTGATCTAGTCTGCTGACACTAAATAACAATTTTCGCGGCCTACCTGCCCTACTAGATACGTCTGTTACGGCCGAAAACCCCGTCGAGCGTCCGGCTGAGAGACGTGCGAAACCATGGACAATACCGACAAGGATAAACCGACCAGGACCACGCCCTGACATAAGCACGCCGCGTCGTGGATGGTAGCACGGCATTTGATGACTGAGATGCTTTCTCCCGAGCCTGCGGGTCAGCTTTGCCAAGGATACCTTGCTCACCACGACCTCCGTCTCGGGAGGGCAGGAGCAAGGCGGTAGAGCCCGGACTGAGACGGCGTCAGGTTGCTACGCAGGCGGCTTGCTAGAGCTGCGCCGAGGTAAACCGCCTTCAGACTGGACTCGGGGTCATAAACAACTGGGCTCCGCGGCATATAGGGAGTGTAGGAATGCCGGCGCTTCCAATGGGGGGGCAAGGGAAGCCGCGGTATTTTTACGAGGGAGGGTGCAAGGCGGTTACCTCGGGGCTTGGCTGCGGATTTACAGAGCCGGGTAAGTTGGGGGAGATATATATGTACAAGCGATACGATATGTTACAGGTTCGGTTGCGTCGCTGCATTGATGAAGACGTCCGGGTTTAGACAAGCAGACACGCAGGGGCACGCCATTCCATTGCTCACTCGGTAGCCCTCGACTCCAGCTCCTTCTCAACGATGCCAAACAGGTCCTTCTTGTCAAAGTCCTTGCCGGCCAGTGCGCCGCCGGGCTTCATCAGCTGCGCCATGAGCAGGGCCGTGTTCCTCCTCAGCGACTTGCGGGCGGCCCAGTCGGACGCGGCCGGGTCGAGGCTGGCGCAGGCCTCGGCGACGACGCGGGCGACCTGGCTCGGGTCTAGGGACTCGACGCCGCTGCGGGCGGCGTACTCCTCCAGGACGGCGACCTGGGCGTCCTCTTTGTCGGCCAGGTCGACGCGGCCGGCGGCGCGGAAGCCGGCGGCGGCCTCGCGCTGGCTCGCGGCGGCCTTGCGCAGCATGGCGACGAGGGCGGCGTCGGTGCGGACGGGGCTGCTCGTCTTGCTGGCGTTGAGCGTGGCCGAGATGACGGACCGGAGCACCGCCAGCCGCGGCGCGTCCTTGGCCCGCATCGCCGCCTTGAGGTCGCCCTTGAGTGTGGCCAGCAGCGGCGGCGGCGGCGGCAACTCGTCGCCAGGGGCGGAGGAGTAGGCCCGGCTGGACGACGGCAGGGATGGTGGGGCGACGGCGACGGCGACGGCGATGGTGGCAGGAGCGAGGACGAGGCGGGCGCAGGTGGCGGCGGGGAGCGGGCTCTGCCGAGTCGGGAGCTGGCGGCAGGCGCGGCGCAGCGCCGCTGATGACAGGCGGGGCACTGCCGACATGATGACTTGACTCGTGCGGTTCTTGATAGTGTGAGTGTGCAGCGAGCTTTGTTTCGTTTCGAGGCAGTCTGTCGGGTCGGCTGCTGTTCCAAGGCTCGCTCCAGGCCGCGAGTTTATTTCCTGCAGTGGGCAAAAAAAAAGCTGCCGAAATCTTTGCATGCACGCATCTTCGTCAAAGCCCCCCCGCATGAGTCGCCGAATTGGCCAGTTATCGTCAGTCTCCACCCCCACTTCCAGGACTAGGCTTGGCACGGCAGTCGAAGGCGATCATCTCCACTCTCCCAGGCTACTGGGAGGTGCAGCTGATACGTGTTTTTGACGGGGTTTCAACCAAGATTTGCCGCCTGAGAGTCGTGCCCTTCGAATGCTTGAATCTTGCCCGAGCCTCGCAGGTGTTTGGATTTGATTCGTTAAAAGGCAATAACCGGGAATGGGGATTATATGCTATATCTTACGGCCTCGGACAGGTTGAAACAATTCCACTCTGCAGCAGCATGGGAGTGACCATTGGGAGTGACCATGGCGGCGCCATCTCGCCTGCACCAAGGACAATCCGTCGTCCACCTCAGACCAAGAACCACTCCATCGGCCCGAGAGCGCGTGCAGCCAAGCCGCCATGGTCGCGTTTGAGCTCCCCCTAATAAGGCCTGGATATTGATAGCCCATCGATAATTCCGCGCGGGTATGTTTCCGCGCTGTGGCTAGTTTTCAAATCGGCGGGCCTGAACCAAGCTTGCAGGGACAGCGGACCATACTGGCCTGGTATGACAAAGTTTGTGAATGCTCGACTCGGGGCATCGCCCGGCACAAACCTTGGCCTGTCGCCACAAGGGCGCCCAGTTGATCCCAATGTCCGTCGGATCTATTTGCGTTTCGGGCCAGCGTCTTCTTGGCCCTGAGCAGGCAGTTCCCTTGGCCTCTTTGCCTTTTGCAAACAGTATATAGCTCGGCCGGCACGCTGCATGCCAAGCTGTCCCAGGTGGCGGGGTTAGGACTTTGAGCAATCCCAAACACCGCCTGATCTGCCCAACGGCCCGGCCCACCCTCGTCTCTCCCATCGCCGACTGCCAAGCTAGTTGGGGTGTCGACCTCCGCCAGCCTCCTACTTCATTGTCATCTCAAGCATCGGGCAGCCAGCCTACTAAACAAGAGCCAGGCACGAGCCCTGACAGATTTGCCCTTCCATATCAGCAGACGGCTTCGACCGGACCGGACCTTCCGAGTTTCTTCCTCGGCCCTGTGGTAGCTACTACGTCGGCCAGCAAACGGCGACCATCATGGCCGCACAGACAGCGGCAGCTGAGGGTACGACAGAGTTCCAAGCCAGCAGACTCGGCCCCTGTCTCTCGCCGCCCGAGCCCGAGATGCAGCGAGGCCGGAGACGCGCTCGCAGCCCCATGCACCTGTCAATGGTGAACGGCCCCTCGGCGCAGCAGGCGCCATCCCGCGAGTCTAGCACGCTGCGCGGACGGTGCCGCCATCGATCGACGTCGCTCCTGGGCGGCATCGCGTCGCGCAACCCGTCGACCGCCTCGGCCGCCCTGCCGTCGGAGCGATCGTCCTCGCGGGCGCCCACACAACGACAGCTCCTCCACGTGCCGCGTGCCCCGCCACCGCCACCGCCACCGCAGCCGCTGATGCACCACCACAGAAGGCACCGGAGCCAGTGCCCCTCACGGTCGGGGTCGCGGTCGACCGACGGGAGTGACGGAACGCCTCACCGGCGGAGGCAGCGCACGCGGAGCAGGGCCCGCGTCCATCGGCTGGAGGGTTCGTTTGGGGCGCTCGACCTCGCTCCGTCGCCCTTGCATTTCCAGATGGTCGTCCTGGCGGCTGATCAACCGTCGGATACGACGTCCGGCAACAGCGGGTCGGACTGACGACACCGGCGTCCTTCTCTTGTGGACGGCAATTTTATGGCGCTAGCGAGGGACGAGACGGGGGGGCAATAGCACAGAAGCGAAGTCACCTGGCGCAACTGTAGCACGTGGCCCATCCGGGTCCTGGGGACAACAGTGTTTATAGCCTTATCTCGCCTCCATGATTTGCTGTCGACTCGCATGTGGTTCCACCAGCCTCCCCCACCTCCCCAGAGCATCCGCATCAGCAAAACGGATGTGGATCGGACGGCTTTCACGAGATGGGCCTTCTGCCCGAGAGTGTGTCATCCTTTGCCCGACTCGGATCGTGGGATGAACAACCTGAGGGGGGGCAGCATCAGCATAGCCGGCACTAGGCAGATGCAATCTACAATGGAATTGTATGGGGCTAGGTATTTTCGGTGATAAAGTCCAACGTCATTGGGCTCGGGCATGTTTATGTCGACGAGGCCTGCGTGGCCCGCAACGAAGTTGGGTCAAGTGACGAGGAAAAAAAAAGTTGCAGCCAAGACGAACATCTTGTAAATTAAAACGAAGACAATGGGACCAATCCCTCACTCTTGGCTGTTTGTTAGAGGCCGAGTTTTCCGTCTGTGATTGACGAATGAATGAGGAATGAACGGGCATCTTGGCACTAACTCAGACGGCCGATAACAACGAAGAGAGGACTAAAGGGAGGAGGGCTGGAATATGGCACGTGGCTGACAGACGCTGTTGGGTGGCAGCGGACAACAAACGATTGAGGCACTTTCTGGAATCGTGCGTGCTTCCTGCAAGATTGGGCCGTTTTGACTCCACGGCGTCACCTGATAAGCCGCATGCGGCTGACGATCGAGCATCAATCGCTGCTGTCGAATCAGTGGCTGGCCGGCCTGCCTTCACCCGCGGGGGAGGAGGGCTGCCAAGGACACAGACGAGGGTGCTGCTGCACCACCATCAACACACTGCCCCCACCCTGCTAGGCTCGCTCTCCATCGTTTTCTTGCAGTGAGTGCATGCCTGCTTGCAGGCCTGCCGCCGCCCGCTTCTGGCTGCCTTCCCCCGCCTAACCTGGCCCATCTCATTTCTCCGGCTGCGGCAGCCGTGCAGAGCGTCTGGTCTAATGCCGAGGGGGCTCCATGCAGTCTCCAGTCTCTGCGTGATCTCGTGCCCCCCAAGCTGCGCCTGCCTATCGCGGACGAAGACGAGGGTCGCGCCTGATAAAGCTTCATCGCCCTTTGGTAGTTTTTTTTTTTGGTAGTTTTTTTTTGAAGGGCCCACTAGGATCCCCAGATCAAGCACATCACTGCTGCGTCAGATCGCCTCAAACTCCACCCTGCGCTCTCCGCGTCGCTTTCTGCGCCTTTGCCTCTTTTTTTTTTTGTTTTTTTTGTTTTTGTGGTCGTTCCCACCCCAAGTAGAGATCCCGTCCGACCTTCGCTTCACCGCGCCTGCACTCTCCAACTCTCGGTTGGATCTGCAGGCAGTAGGTCGGTCGCGGTAGTGAGTGCAGCGCAATCAACGCGCGCGCGCGCACACGAAGACGAACCAAGCCGCCTCCCGCCATCGCCGCCGCCGCCGCCGCCTTTGTCTTCTCGTCCCGTCCCCGCCACTGCATCCGTTGCATCCACAACTAACACTACTGACCCCTCCAAACAACCACCACTTTCTCCTGCTCCTCCAAACCACCTCCTCTGAACCACAACCACCACCGCGCCCGCCCACGAGCTACCTCCAAACTCCCTCGATGAACCCTGTGTCCGCATCGATCCACCCTCCTTCCTCGGTCATGCTGCCTCCAGCACCATCTTCCTGATCTCTGGTCCTCTGCACGTCACCGCCAGCTCTCGGCCCTCCGGGAATTGCCGGCACGATGGCTTCAAACGGTACCTTCCCTCCTCTTTGTCTGCTCCCTCCCTCTCCCCCTCCCTCGCTCCGCAAGCGCTCCCGGTCAGAGGGCGAACTCCAAGACCTCGTCTGTGCCGCGCCCGTCTCGAGTCCCGAGAACGCCGACCTTGGCAGCCAAGCTCACACGTTTGCCTCTCCGCAACAAGGCCGACCGACCGCCAGCCATGTGCAGCCTCACCTCGCCCAACCCGCATGGGACCCTAGGCTCCTGCTCAACCCCAGGGCTGCCTCGCTGCCTATCAATCCCGCCGCCCACCGACATGTCGCTGCCTTCTCGAGAAGGGCTGCTGCCCCCGCCGACCCTGCAGCCAACCAGGTCTTCCAATTCTCCAGTCCCAGTCCTGCTGTGCACCTGGCCGAAGCCGAGGAGCAGCCCGCTATCTCCCCACACAGCCTCGAGCAGCCCCTGCACCCCACCAATGGCGTCGGTGCCATGATCGAGCGCATCAACAACGTGGAGAGCCGCGCTTTCGTTCCTGAGCCAAAGCGGCGCAAACTCGAACCAAGCCCCCAGCCGATGGCCTCCTCCAGCCGTGGCAGCAGCGGGATGTTGGGTGGATATATCAAGGAACAAAAGACTGGAGAGGTCAGCGGTGGTGGTCTTGTAAAGGCACCCCAGACTGTTGACCTGACCGAAAGTAAGTCACCGCTCAGCTGCCCTTCTCCTAACGACGTGGGTATCGTACTTACACTCCTGCTCCAGATGCCGACGGCGAAGTTGTCGTGCTCAAGCCTGGACTCCAAGAGGTCTGCTATGGAACGTTGGAAACAGCCTCTGTCAACTGCCACAGCGTTCCTGCCCCTCGGCCTGGAGGTCTTAATCTCGCTTCTGCCGGGTACTGGCCGCCCATCAAGGCGATCCTCAGACGCAAGGTTAATGATCCCACAACCACCGTCCAGGTCTACGACCATACGCGAGAGGTTTTTGGGACTGTCGACCACAGGATCTCGGCAGCGCTTGCCAGGTTGTTGGATGCCCCAACCGTCCAACTTCGGACCGAGTCCCGCATCCCGTCGCGCAAGAGACAGCCGGATGAGGTTATCGGCCAACCCATCTCGCGTGCCTATAGATTGGAGATCACTCTCTTTGGCCGACGCGCACTCGCAGATGGAGTGGGCAAGGTCCTCAAGGAGAACAGGCTGCGGCTTATCAATCCAACCATTGTTCCTCGCGGCATCCCTGTCGTCAACCCCCATGCCAACGACCCCCCTCCGACGACTGTACCCAAGCCCGTCGCCTCCCAGGCCACGTACACGACGCCCGTGTCCATGCAGAAAACTTTGGATGAAATCCGGCACGACGCCATGAGTGTGTTCGACACGCTGTCCCAATCTGAGGAGCTGCCCGAAATGGAGCCCGGACCGCTCATCATGACGGAGTTGTTGCCCCATCAGAAACAGGGTCTCTTCTTCATGACCGCCCGGGAGAATCCGGATGGGAGCGCAGCGCAGCGTGCGCATATTCGTACTCTATGGCAGAAGAGGCAAGTCCACGGAGGCCATGTTGAGTATCTCAACCTCGTCACGCAGCACACGGAGCCCTCTCGCCCCAAGGAGACCCTCGGCGGGATTCTTGCAGATATGATGGGCCTCGGCAAGACGCTCTCTATCCTGTCGCTGGTAGCGTCGTCGTTGGATAAGGCGGAGGAATGGGCCGACAAGGAGCCAGAGCAGCCTCTAGCCCACAAGAACAAGAAATCCTCCTCCAGCAAGTTCAGCGCTCCTTTGCCGGAACCTCTGGGGCTGACTCGGTTGTCGATAAACGCCAAGACGACGTTGCTGGTGTGCCCGCTCAGCACCATCACGAACTGGGAAGAGCAGTTAAAGCAGCACATCAAGCCGAAGGGCCTCAGCTACTACATCTATCATGGCCAGAACCGCATCACTGACCCCATTCAGCTTGCCGCATACGATCTTGTCCTCACGACTTATGGATCTGTCTCGAGCGAACTGACGGCCAGGAACAAACGCAAGGTCAAGCAGTTCCCCCTCGAGGAGATTGGCTGGTTCCGCATCGTTCTCGACGAAGCCCACATGATCCGAGAGCAAGGAACGCTGCAGTTCAAGGCGGCTTGTCGCTTGCAGGCCAGTCGGAGGTGGGCCGTGACGGGAACCCCTGTCCAGAACCGCCTTGACGACCTGGCGGCCCTGCTGGCTTTCCTCCGTCTCAAGCCGTTTGACGACCGCGGCCGCTTCAACCAGCACATTGTGACACCCTTCAAGATGGCCGACCCTGAGATCATCCCAAAGCTCCGGCTGTTGGTGGATACAGTCACTCTCCGGCGCCTCAAGGACAAGATCCAACTGCCGTCGCGGACCGATGAGGTGATCAAGTTGACCTTCTCGCCCGACGAACAGCGACTCTATGATATGTTCGCCAAGAACGCCAAGGATCGCGTCCAAGCCCTCACGGGCAGCAGGGAACGTATTCTAGGCGGAAAGACATACATACACATTCTGCAATCCATCCTGCGTCTCCGACTCATCTGCGCTCACGGCGCCGAACTTCTTAGCGACGAGGACCTCAAGACGGTCCAGGGAATGACCCAGGAGTCTGCCATCGACCTCGACAGCGATGAGGAGTCAGACAAGCCGACGCTGACAGCGGCCAAGGCTCACTCCATGTTCCATTTGATGAAACAGACCAACAGCGAAAACTGCGTTATGTGCCAGAGAAAGCCCGGGTCCAACGATGGGGCTGACATGGAGTCTGAGCGGCAGGAAGACGTCATCGGCTTCATGACGCCCTGTTTCCATATCTATTGCCTCAAGTGCATCAGGCAGTGGCGAGACGAGGATCAAGGCTTCTCGCACAATAGCAATAAGGTTGGCGCCTGTCCCATCTGCCACGACCAGATCAAGTTTGCCGCCACGGAGCTGCGCCGTGCACACATCGAGGCTCAAGACGAGGATACCTTGCGCACCAACGCTGTTGCTATGAACCGCGGCCGGGGTGGCGGCAAGAAGTTTGAGAACTACAGCGGCCCACACACAAAGACGATTGCTTTGGTTGAGGAGCTCCTCAGCGCCCGCAAGGATAGCCAGCTGATGCCTGACGAGCCCCCCATCAAGTCGGTCATCTTCTCTGGTTGGACGTCGCACCTGGACCTGATCGAGATCGCACTAGACGCTGCCGGCATCAAACACACACGATTAGATGGCAAAATGTCCCGTACACAACGTACGCAGGCCATGGACGTCTTTCGCGACGATACCTCAGTTGAGGTCATCCTGGTGTCCATTATGGCAGGTGGGCTGGGTCTGAATCTGACAGCGGGCAGCCGCGTCTTTGTCATGGAGCCCCAGTACAACCCGGCGGCCGAGGCCCAGGCTGTCGACCGCGTGCACCGCCTCGGCCAGAAGCGGGCGGTGAAGACGGTGCGTTACATAATGAAAGACAGCTTCGAGGAGCAGATGGTCGCGCTGCAGGAGAAGAAGATCAAGCTCGCGAACCTATCCATGGACCGCGACGTCACCAACCTCGACAAGCGCGAGGCAGCAAGGCAGCGTCTCATGGATCTCAAGGATCTCTTCAAATAAGCCGCTTCTGCCGTTTATTTCTTTTTTTCTTCTGCTTTGGTTCTTTTTCTATCTTGCCTCACGCACAACGACGCATTTATGATACCCTCGCGGCATTTCCATATCCTCAAACTCCATGGTCCCATTTTTCGCACACATATCGTGCCTTTTTTTTTATTCTTATTTTTCTCCAAGTCTCACAGCTTCCAACTCCATCGAAGCTAGCAGCATCAGCATCACCATGCTTCACACTTCGTGCTACAACATCTCTGCCGGGGCGGTCATCTTGCGCATTTTATCTCTTTGTTTCGGGCACTTCAGGACCCCGGGCATGGCCGGCTGGTATTGAGCTGCATTTCCAACACAGAAGCGAGCATGGCGGCGAATTGCCACGACACACTGTTAGGGCCCGGGTACCTACCCAGCTAGTCGCCAGCTAACACGTTTGCTTCGTGGCGCCTGGCGGAGCGGTACCGGGCGCACCAGAGACGCGAGATGGCAAGGTCTTGGGCGGAACGGAGTATTCTGGCTTTGCGATAGACGGCAGCATGGCAGCCTGCGAGCTCCAGGAAGACACATACGACTCGCAGTGGGCATCAAATGGTAGCGGCGTTGGGCATGGGCGCCCTGGAACATGCTTTTCCCTTCCTTTTCCACCAATGGGGCGTGGGCTCTCTGCTTTTTTTTTTGTTTGCTCATGCATTGTTTAAATCGATGCCCATCTCTTGATTTGGACAGGTCACGACTTGGGGGGCGGGCGGCTGCATTCATGGAAGGCTCATCTGGCTTCTCGAGTTTTCTCGCACATGTTTCTTTGCTTCTCATCCATGCGCGCGCACAAGCACGCGAGCGGTTTTCTTCCCCTAATCCACCATCTTCTTTGGCAACAACTTGCTATCCCATATTGCGAGCTCAGGTAGTAAGTTTGCAGGTGGGTGGACAGCAAAGACGGATCAACTGACCTCATTTCACCATTCATGGTTCCAATTCACAATCGCAGCTACTCACTACACGAGCAATGATGCGGGAGAAGATTACATCTGAAAAGTGATCAGAAATTTCAAATGGCGCCTGATCCGATGGCGTTGGGAGTCAGTCTATAGATGAGTATGTACAGCGGGTGTCAATGAACAAATAGCAGGGCCTTGCTTGCACAAGGACCCCCGGAGCACCAGTATTTTGTTCTTAACGTCGTGAATTTTGGGTGCTTATCAATAGCGCCCATCAACATCATTCTTAAAGGAAATACAAAAGCAGTCGCCAGAGTCCAGTGTCCCAACCTCGTAACGCCAAAAAAGTCAACGCAAGTGTATGACAATGAAGAAATCGGGTAGTCTGGGCCAATGAAGGCGTGTAGAGATATGGGGCTCTTTACGTCTCCATTAACAGAGCCGTACTCAGTAGCACTTCAAACCAGTCCACCAGAAGCAAGGTAAGAGCGTAAAAATCAAGCGGCATGGGCGCTCGCGACAGGCTGCTGGACCTTGGTCACCTGCATGCCTGCGCGAACGATACGCTTGCCTGACGAGTCAACGACGGTAGACACATCCTTATTCTCATACTGGGCACGCTTCCAGATCTCGACCTCGCAGCCGCCGCGCAGGACGCCGACACGCATGGTAGAGAGAAGGTTATGGGCGGCGTTGGAGTGATTGTAAACACCACCGTTGAAGATGGCGGTTGCGTCCTTGCCGATGGCGGACGAGATGAGAGCCTTGCCACCGGGGTGGTCCTTGATGAAGTCGGTGACATCGTGGATGACACCAGCCACAGCAACGAGACCCTTGCCGTTGTGAGACTGCTCAACAAAGTCGTCCCAGTCGACAACAGGCAGCTGCTCCAGAGGGATACCCCAGTCGAGCTTGGAGCGCTTCTGGTCGAGCTTCTTCTGCTGCTGCTGCAGACGGCCCTTCTCGATCTCGTTCTGGCGGAACTGCTTGAGGTCGTAGGCGAGGCCCAGCTGCTTCCAGATCCAGATGGACCACTTGGTGGGGTCATACTGGTACCACTCGATGGCGTTGCGGTAGTCCGATGGGAACTCGTGGTGGAAGTTGTGGTAGCCCTCACCCAGGGTAACAAGCGCCGTGATGACATGGTCACGAGGAGAGTTGCGGTCGTCGAAGGGCTGGTCTCCGAGCCAGTGGGCGAGCGAGTTGACGCAGAAGGTAGCCTGCTGGACGACGAAGATGCGCAGAATGCCGGCGTAGATGAAGCCGCCCCACCAGTCGCCCCAGCCGAGACCAGCAACAACGGTTGGGAAGATCAAGGCCATGGTGATGACGGACTTGATGAAGTTGCGGTGCTGCCACACGACGACGGGGTCCTCGTTCAGATCGGTAATGTCGGTACGGCCCTGCTTCTTGGGGTTCTGCTTGAGCAGCATCCATCCCATGTGCGAGTACAGGAGACCCTTGCGGACTGAGTAGGGGTCCTTGTCGGTGTCGGTGTAACGGTGGTGGGCGCGGTGGCCGTTGGACCACCACCTGATGGAGCCCTCAACGGCGCCGGCGCCGACGGCAGCAAGGTAGATCTTGAGGGGCAGCGAGGCCTTGTAGCAGCTATGCGCCCAGAGACGATGGTAGCCTACATTGGGGTCAGGAGGTTAGCGATACTGGACCTATGTGGGGATCTAGGGTAAAAGAGCAATTGGACATACCGGCAGTGATGCCCAGGCCCGTGTTGAAGTAGTACACGAGAGCCCAGATGGCCGTCTTGAACTGGAGGGGCACCCAGTATGTGGAGATGAGACCACACAGTGGCACAAAGAGAATGAAGGTGGTGTTGAGCCAGTGGATGTGCTTGTGCCAGTTCTTCATAGTCATGGGCTCGTCTGAGATGTGAGGCTTCTTGGCATCGAAGGCCTTGTTGACCCTCAAGGGTTTGTATTCTGTGGTGCCGTCCGGGAAGGCCGTGGCCTCGACCGGGTGTGCGGCCGACGACGATGAGGACGCCATGGCTGCGGGTGTCTGGGGAAAACCCCTGGTGCTCTCCTCTGGAGTCGTCAGAAGGGAGGACGGCGAGAGAGAGTAGGGATGTCGTTGGTTCAAGCCGGGCGGGGGAGGTGGACGTGGTGGACGTGGTGGTGATGGGGAGTGATAAGGTAGCTGTGCAAAGGAGTGGGAGGGACACTGAAGCGTTTATATGCGGTACGGGGAGCAATGTTGCGGGCAGGGGCAGGGCAGGGCAGGATTGTTGGAGGAGCAGGGGGACCAGCCGCGGTGGTGGCGGTGGGTTCACCTCTGGTGCAGATGGGCTCAATGGCTGTTGGGTGGGCCTTCCCTCCACCAACAAGTCCGGCTTGGGGGAAGGTTCGAGTGACAGACACACACAAACCCGGCACTCACGGCCAGCCATACGCAACCCAAAGCCTGTGGGCCGTCTCCGAAAAGAGACCTCCAGCGGGTGGCGGCTGTTGGGATGGGGCAAGGTCCCCCCACCGTGCCCGGCCTCGCCGCTTGATGACAAGCAGCTGCAGCCCCTCCTCGCCGTCCCAAGGGATCGCCCAAAAGACGGTGCGAGCGTTGGCGACACTTTACGAGGTGCGCCTCGCGGTCAGGTCACTGGGGGACATGTCTGGAGGGCGGACATTGCCGGCTGACAGCGCAGGTGCTGGTGCATCGTGCCATCTGCCCCATTATGCATGTTCAGCAACCCAGCAGGGAGGGCTTCATGCCGACGTTGCTGAATTCAACCAACGCTTGTACCCCCAAAGAAAAAAAAACCGCTGGTGACAAGGCGGGTTTGGCGGCGCTTCCTGCCAAACCCAGCCCCTGGCCCGAGGGCTGCCAAAGCGCCGCCTGCCTTTTGTTGAGACGTTCAAAATGTTGGGGGAGACAGGGTGGGTTGATTGGCCGGAGCTGTTGCGGCTCGCCTCCTTTTGCGCGACCCGATTCGACGTGCCTGCAAATCGGCATTGGGACAGGGATCTGACCTCTTGGGCCACAGGGCTCGGCTCGGGCTAGGACCAGGGGTGAGGACATGCCGCCCTGTCGAAGACGGCGGCCCAGATAAACAGGCAGTTGCCTGCATTCTTCCCGTCGTCCCGTCAAGTTTCTCAATTTTGTCCCTCGGAGGAATGGAACAGCTCAGCTGGGTATCTAGAGGTAGGCACGGTAGGCAGTTGGTACGTACCACTGACTGTGCCTTTCTAGCTTTAGCATTGGACCCCTTTCTTTGTTCTGCTTGTCCATGCACTTGCATCTACCTCGATGATGAGAGGACCATCGGCATCGCGCTTGTCAACCCTGAAAACTTTGTTCATTCGACCATTTGACAAAACGCCCTCGTTCAACCAAAGATGTCATGGCTCCAGCTGCCATGCCACGTTGGGGGCGGGAGCCCAAGCCAATGGAACTATGCTGTCAAGCTTAGCTCATCCTGGCGTATGGCGTACCTGCACAAGCTCCAATCAGAAAGCCTATTTTTTTTTGTTTCTAGCCGGGCCCTCAACGCGTCTGTGCCGCCACCTCTCCACCGCCTCCACAAGCCTCGAACACAGTTCCCGTTTCCAGTAGCTTCGGACATTATTCTCATGCCAGCCTCGGCTCTCGACGGGATTCGGACATGGTTTTATCAGGGCATTGCTCTCGCCTGCTCGCGGAGCCTTTCTTTTTTGCATTTTTGTTGCCATGTGCAAGCCATGCTGACCCACACTCGCATTCCTCGGGACAAGGATCTCCGTCATCTCCCCCCAGTCTCTGTCTCCCCTCAACACGGGAGACCCGATCCCCATAGCTTCCCCTTATCGGTCGTGTGTCAGGAACATGACGTGACTGCCTCACACACCCAACAGTTCACAAGTCTTCCCCAGAGACGGCGGAACCGACCGAATCAAATGGGGCAGTCGGTTTTTACATGTGGCATGTGCGGGCACGTCTGCGTCCGGAAATGGACGTCACTGCCGAATAACCAAAAAAGAAGCAACATCTTTTCATGGACCCGCCCTCTCCCCACCCACGCGATCTAGCGTTAGGCTTCGAGGGAAGCATTGCAAAAAGCTTCTAGAAGGAGTTTTCGGCAACGCTAACCCGTATGTAGACATGTCCGTTGGCACCCCTTTCAAAGGCCTTGGATAACTATCCCCAATAGGCAGCGCTGGTCATCTGATAATTGCGACGTGACTCTGAGGCATTGCCAGCCGCTCGCGTCAAAAGGTTGCCCAACCCCCCAAAGCAGATGGCGGGTTGGCACTAGGTCGGCCCGTGGCCACGTCAATCGCCACATGGTCCAGGACACCTGACCAACGGATGGGGCAGTCCAAGACAAGACAAGACGGACACTTTTATACCCCCAGAACTGATGTCAAACACACATTAATATGTAGATATATATACCTCCTCGTCCCTGGGACAGGAGCAGAACAGGATGCTCCCTCCCGCAGAAGAAAATGGTGTTCGGTGAGAGATGGATCCGAATGCAATCCCAACATGACCATGGCCAAGGAAATCGTGTCCAAGGCGGCAAGGCAGACCCCCGCTGGAGGGAGGGAAAGCGGCAAGAAAACAACATTAAATACCAGAAGTCAAAGCCCCATGAGATCCGAACACCGAGCCCCCGACGGTACGGTGAGTCTGTTATGATAATGTTGCACATCGGACTGGATCCGATCCGGAGATACACCAGAACGGCAGAATCTTCACCGTAGCGTACGCCGCATATTTTTTATCCAAAGCTCCAGCAACGCCATGAAGAGCTTGGTTCAACGTATTTGTAAATGCATCGAGAAGGGAACACGGAATAGATCATGAGGAAGTAGCAAAGTTCTGGAGTAAACACAGGCAAAATGAAAAAGGGCAAATGGAGAGAAGAGAATGTGTAACGCAAGGAGACGGGCAAACCGATAGGCTGAGCATAAAGGAAACGACGAAAGGACAAAAGAATGCTGACCAGCGAGGATGAAAATGCAAACCAGGGTTATTCTGTACATGATATCGTGGGACGGGCTCTAACAACTCCGTGCGTATTTCGTAACAAATAAAAAGTTAAGTGAGTGTTGTATGCTTTCAGCGGTGTTTAGTGGCGGGCTTCTTTTTTCTTCTCGCCTTTCTTCTAGTCGACGTCGTCAATGGTTGGTAGAGCAGCCATCAAGGCGATCAAAGTCGTCAAGGATGGAGCCCTGCGCCCGCAGCGCCTCCTCGTTGGAGTGGTCATGAGCAGAGCCGATGCCCTTTAGCTCGTCTGGAAGCTCGTGTATGGGGCTGTCCCTCGCACTCCCCGAGCCCGGTGGCGTGTCGAGGCCAACGGCCTTGGGCGTCGACGGAGTGTTTGTGGCCTGCTCAACCTCGAGGATGCTGGCGCCGTCGCCGTGGAGCGACTCGGTGCCAATGGCGAGCCACCGGCCTGTCGACGGCGTCTTCATCCGCTCTATATTTGCACCCATGGCTGTTGCCACGGCTGCGTCTGGGATAACTTCTGTTTCCGTTTCTGTCGCGGTAGCCGTGTGGAATGACTTGGTCATGTCGTCTCTGTGGCTCTGGGGTTCCGTGATCCCCGTCTCCCACCGCGCCGCATGTGGCGGAATACACTCGCCCAAGTCCCGGTCATCGTCATCCTCCATGTCATTCCAATCCAGGCTTGCGCCTCCTGATTCCGAGGTTGCTGCATCGTCTCTCAGCTCCTCATCGTCGTTTTCTTCGTACTCGGTATCCTCTGATGACGACGGGGGGAGCGGGACACCGTGGGGCTGGAACTCGTCTCCAGTAAATACTGTGGATGACCGAGGTAGCTCTCCCATCGGCGATAGAGGAAGTGCGTTTGTTGTCGTTTCTGCCTCTGCTGCCGCCTCTGCATCTGTCACCACCTCTGCTTCCGTCTCCGTCTCAGCTGCTTTCTCCGCCTCTACCAGGTGTGCCATGTTTTGGTTCTCGTCGAGCCTGGCAACGACCTCGGATATATTATCGACCGGGGCAGCCACGGGCGTATCGACCACTTCGAGCTCCTTCTCGATGATCGTGGGCGCCCAAGCCGGCTCACTGCTCGTTCTCGGTGTCACGCTTCGGTCCTCGGCGGCACGTTCGGTGTCCATGGCGAGCACATCGCTGACGGACCGGTCGCTATGGCTCTGGTCGTAGCTGTAGGCGGACCATGCCGGCGTCCTGGAGTAGGGGCCACGGGCAGTCCCAAGGCCTCCTCTGTTGCTTGCAATGGGGCTCGGCGGGGAGCGGCCTCGCGTCGGGAAGTAGTAGGGCTCGTTCGAAGTGCCCGTCGGGGGGTCTATGTACCTGTGTCCGAATGTCCATTCCGGAGGTGGCGAGTTGGCGGCACGGTCGACAGGCTGACCGTAGGTGTTCACGGACGAATCCACTGAGGCAGTCGGAGCGTGTTGCAGGCGAGCGTGCTCGTGATGCCGGCCCAGGCCATCTCCACTTCCGCTAGAGCTTGGGAACATGGTTGCCAGGATCCTAGCCGCTACTCTGAACCTCGGGTTCTCGCAGAGGCACATGTCAACCACCTCACGGAACCAGCGTGGGCAGTCGACATCGGCATCGATCCGGAGCGGGCGGCTGTGTGCCTCGGGCTCGTCCTCCTGAGTTGCAATCGCCCAGAGGACCATGCCGAGCTGGAAGAGATCCGATTTAACTCCGATATACATGGATATCCGCTGGCCGCTCTCGATCAGCGGCGTTGCCTCTGGGGGCTCCCATCCGACGGGGCAGCCTCTCCGGTTGATGTCTATGATCTTGGCGTCGTCGTTGCTGTCGATGACAATGTTGGAAAGCGTGAAGTCGCCCTGGACGAAGCCGGCCTCATGGATCTCGGAAAGACCGGCAACGATCTGCATGGCCCATTTCTCCCGCCTGGCCCAAGGCAGCCGGTGGTCGTTGTCGAAGATCATGTCAATGAGAGCGCCTTGTTCGGCGTAGCTGATCAGCAACCCCTTGACGTGCTCCTCGTTGTCGTCGACAATCACGCCGTAGAGTTCGATGACGTGTTTCGAGTCTTGCAGCTGGGTGAGCGCATTGACCTCGTACAGAAACTCGTCTACCGTGTCTGGTCCGGGGATCTCCTTCTTGATGAGGGTCTGGCCATGAACCTTGACTTTGTAAACAAACCCGGACATGTGAGAGTCGAACTGAATCTCGCGCTCCCTGACCCTTCTGCACCGCAAGTGGCTGACCATGCGGATTGTGGGGTATGCGATGATCTCCTAGGCATGTTTTCGGCGGGTTAGTATGCTATGCCGGTGCGAGCCTGGAACTGGCCCATGGCAGCGGAGGATAGAGGGACTGACGTTGACATCTTCGACAACGTGCACGTGGAGCCGTCCGTCCGTGGTCTGAAGCTTGAGGTTGGTAACGGTATCGTAGAATTGGATGTCCTGCAGACTTTCACGAATGGCCTCATAGATCTTGGCGTTCTTCTCACGCTGGAACTTAGTGTGTTCCAGGTCCAGCTCCAGAGAGTTTTCGGGCGCGTTCCTGTAGTCGAGGGACACGGTGACACGTCGCCAACGGAACTCTCCCTGGCGATAGGTGATGAAGAACTTTTCCCGTTTTGACTTGTCCCGGAAGTGCATGGACAGGTTGAGAATCCAGATGCGTTCCAGGTCGTCGTGGATCATCTGGTCGTATTGCGAGGTTGTCATGGAGGCTGTGTCCATGACCGGAGGCCTCAGCCCAGCGTGCGGCTCTGGACGAGGGTCAACATTTGATTCTGTAGGATCGAGATCCAACGCCTCAACATCGCTGAGAGTCTCCACCGTGATGCGGGGATCGTGGCCGTAGGGCGCTGTGGAGGCCAGCGATGGTGATGGGACAGAGGGGGGAAGCTGTGAGACGGTTGTGCTGCTGACGAGGCCATTCGGAACAGGTGTAGGAGTAGGGAAGCGGGTGGGAGTAGATGCGTGAGGGGTAGCGTCGGGATCTGCCGTGGTGTCGGCGGCAGTGTAGGCGGTAGCATCGACAGTCATGTCGGCGGTGGTAATTGTGTCGGCATCCGTGGCGGTGTCGACATCGACAGGGGCTCTGGTGGTGGCAGCGGCGCGGAATGAGGCATCCAACACGCTAGAACGGGGGTTCGACTGGGAATCGGAGCTGAACAAGGGCGGCGACGCGACCCTCCGGTCCATGGACAAGGCTCGGCGCTCATCTGCAGAAAGCTCGGCGGGCATCAAGTTGTCGCGCAGCTCTGATTTTTGCCTTTTGAAGGTCAACGCCCTAGGTAGGCCGGGAACGACCTGGCGGTTTGTCCTACGCGGAGAAAATAGCCGTGGGTCGTCCGGGTCGAGCTCGTCTGCCATGTCCTCCATGGCCTTTTCGGGTTCGTGCTCGGCCTTGGGTTCATTCTCGACCTTGAACTCATGCTCGGCCTCGGGCTCTGACTCAGTCTGGGGCTCTGGCTCCGGCGCTGGCTCAGTCTGAGGCTCTGGCTCGGCCTGGGGCTCGGGCTCGGTTTTGGGCTCTGGCTCTGGCTCTGGCTCTGGCTCTGGCTCAGCCTTGGGCTCTGGCTCTGGCTCAGCCTTGGGCTCTGGCTCGGCCTGGGGCTCGGGCTCAGTTTTGGGCTCGGGCTCAGGCTCGTGCTCCGGCTCGTGCTCCGGCTCCGCCTGCAGTTGGGGTTGGGGTTGAGGCTGAGGTTGAGGTTGAGACTTCGGTCGAGACGGAGCTGGAGACTGAAACTCGGGTTTGGGGTCCGGCTTCCACTCCGACACTGGTCTCCACTCAGGCTCCGACTTCCGGCCCGGTTTCCACTCCGACTCCGGGATAGGCTGAGGGGCCGGGGCCGGTAGCCGGGCCTTGTTGCCATGATGGGCGCGGCCAAGGATCCTGCGCCACAGGCTAGGTTGCCGGGTGACCCCGGTCTGCAGTGGAAATGCAGAACGTGCGGGTGGCGGTGCTAGGGATGGCTCCTGCGGCGGGGCCTGACCGCTTTGAGGCATCACAGCCTGGGAGCGGTGAGAATCAGGCTGCTGCTTTGCTTGGCTGGATCGGAATCGGGAGTTCAAGGGGACTGGACAAGGCGGGGGCCACATATATGGGCACCGTGGACGGGGGACAGACCCGCTCGAGTCACCGCCTTGTGAGCCAAACCGAACGCCCTCACCGCAAGGGCGGCGCAAATGATGGCGATAGCAGAGTCGATGCGAGGACGCAGGTCAGTAGAGGTGGCGTTTCTGCGCCTGTGTGCGAGTGTGAGCTTGAGCGTGTGTGGTTGCACGTCCCCGCGTTCCTTTTCGCTTGATTTTATCTCCGCTGTTGCAGGTGCCAGGAGTGAGTGAGTGGGTAATGGGCCACGCTGTGCGGCTCAATGAAACGTCTAGGTGGTGGTCTAGGTTTGGGGGTGCGGGAGAGGCACCAGAGGCGGCATATATGAGATGCGAGTGCGTGGTCGAGTACTTCACTGGCGGCTCACATCAAGCGCGAACGGCCATGCAGGTAGCCGTAGAGTGCCAGTAGATGCGCATCAGACATGCGTGGGTTGGGGAGGACTAGCAGCGCTGGGACGAGGGCTGGAGGGGCTGCAGGGTCGGCGACGCTGTGCGCGGCGCGGAGGACGACAGGCAAAGAGGCAGAACAAGGTTGTGATACCTCGCGTTCAGGCCAGAGAGAAGCGTGTCGGGAGGGCTTGTGGTCAGGTGCTCGCGGGCCCAGACACACAAGTGCACTTCTGACTGGATCGCGTGTGGTTCATGCCCGCCGAGGGCCCTCGTCTGTCCTAGTGTTTGTGTCTCTGGCGCGAGGCGGTCGTGCAACTAGGCCGGGGGGGCGGGTGATGGTGGGAGAAAGGGGGCGAGGAGGGCGAGGAAGAAGGCGGAGGACGGAGGACGGAGACACGACAGGAGCGGTCGGATAGGCAGGAGCTGGGGTCGTATCGCGGCCCGGTCAGACGTCCAGGCTGGTTGAGCTCCAGCTTCTCGAGGCTTATGGCAGCGGCGCTCCTGCTGCGGCCACGAAGAGTGGTCTGGTGTCGGTATCAGAGGTCGAATTGAATTTGCCTGGGGACGAGGAGCAAGCAGCCGCAATGGCTCGAGCTCGGGCCAAGGATCAGCCAACCACTGACAAAGTGGTTGCGAGTCGTCTTCCCTAGTCGGGATGGAGATGGGAGGCTGGCGTGCGAGGCACACGAGGATTGACTGCCAGGCAGCGGTTGGGCCATGCAAGTTGAGATCAATTCCGCCTGTTCGGCGCAAGCCATCCCATCTCGCTAATATCCACGGATTGAAGCCCATCCACGGGCTGGGCAGGCAGGGCTCGCTTGGCCAGCGAGAATTGGGACCAATCCCGTTGTTTGTCTTTTCTTTTTTTTCTCCCGTCTTTTTTTTTCTCCCGTCTTTTTTTTTCTCCCGTCTTTTTTTTTCTCCCGTCTTTTTTTTTCTCCCGTCTTTTTTTTTTATTCCCTCTCTCAAGTGTCTGCAGGTGGGAACCTGTCTCCAGCTCCGTCCCATGCATGCAGGCAGTTGCAGCCGTCGAAAGTGGCTGGGGACAGTCAGTGCACGTAGTTTCCTGTTGGAGCCCGACCCGCTCTAAACCTAACAGGGCGGGTTGGGCGGTGTGTGCCAGCCTGTGCCAGCACAAAAGGTACCAGCGGTACCACTGTACCTGTACCCTGAGGGGTCGGTCGCGCAACGCGCCCGTGCTTACCCATTGGGGACGCATGGGAGCACACGGAACCAAGCTCCAGGTGTGATGGGTGGCTGGCTTGGTGGCTCTGCCGCCGACGATGATGAATTGCGCACACGTGTTCGAGGAGGCGCCCTTGCAAGGGTTGGGAGCCGTTGTGGGGGCACCCCGTTGTGAAATGATTCATTCCATTGCGACGCTTGGTGGTGTCCTACTACGCAAGATTGCGGCTTGTGATGGTGAATATTGACTGCCCAAACCGAACGAGCTTCACGTTCCCGAGTCTCTGTCTCCGAGTCGGACTATGATGGCGACACAGCTGCACCGGCCGGGCCATGCATGTTGATTCGACCGCATGTCCAAGGTACCACGACCTCCTGTCGTCCGCCTCTCTCTCACGGGCAGGTACTTTCGGGGAATCAAATTCTGCACCACAGATAAGCCTACGGATCAATGAGGATGCATCCAAACGATGCCACCTCGGCCCTTCCGCGTCTGCCCGTCTCCATAACCTGCAAACCCTGGGCTGCTAGGAAATTCCCGCAATTGTGTGTGTGTGTGCGTGTGTTGTCAACCCCAGTCGTACTTTAGTAGGGGTACTTACCTACCAGGGCCTACCACCTGCCTACCTCTAGGTACCTACCTCTGGCACCTCGTGGTGCCATGGCACTTTGCTCAGCTTCCCGAGACACCGTCTCAACTCATTTACCGCCTCGACGCCATCGCTGTCCATATCCGTTTGCGCCCGCGTCACCCCTCGGCGCCTCGCTGGCCTAGCCGAGCACCTGATCTGGGTCTTGTCATGGCACGTTTTGTCCTTGCCCACCAGACGCGGGGAAGTGGAGCCTCTCGGGATAGGGGAGCCTCTCCGGGATAGGGGAGCTCTCCGGGATAGGAGCCTCCAGTTCGGCCGATCGCCTCGATGGGTGCAAGCGCCAGCAGCGCCAACATAGTAGGATAATGGCAGTGATGGCAGGAAGGGGTTACTCCGCAAGGGGCGCCCCCCAGAAGCCATTTACAGTCATCCGACAATCGAGCCTGCCCGCACTGAGCAGGGGGCCGACGTTGAGAGGAAGATTGACAACACATCAACCCAAGTGGCCAATGGTGGCTGCAGTGTCCCGCCCGGCGGCAAGGATCTGTAGGAGTGAAGCCAGAGGGAGAAGTGAGAATAATAAAAAAAGACGACGAGAATTTGCCCGGACCGGTCAAAGCCCTGCCACGGGCATGGGGCCATGGGAGAGGTACATACCTCTACCTACATACCTACCAACCTGACATGCAGGCGTCCATCAACCATCCGCCTTCGCTTCGATTACGGCGTCGCCGGCGGCTTTGCGCGTTTTTCCCCCATGCCACTTTTGGCCCTTTGTCTTCGCCCCTCACTCGAATCCTCCCTGTAGCGGCATCCGGAATAAGTATAGCTGATGCCGACTTTTCAGAGAAGGGGACCGCAGGCAGCCCAATCACTCCCGCCCGGCCAACCCCGGAGGCCGATCTCCCCCATGCTGACATCAGCCATCTGGGTTGACGACATGCTATTGACGGCCATTGACAGTGGGCAGGTTGGTTAGTGGGTTTTTGTGTCGTTGGTGTAGCGGTTGCCAATATTGGGCCCGTGGGGGACCCAAGAAACCACGAGGTAGTACTTAGTCCCCAGCAATCCGAGATTCGACTCGTCCTTGTCGCCCTCTAGACCCTCTAGACGGGCTCATGACCACCGCGCCCAACGAGTACCGCATTAGACACAGCTCTAGCTTGCAGGTCGAGAACAGCTGGTGAAGCTTAGGAAATTCCAAGCGAACAGCAAACCTAGGAGAAAGACTAAGCGAAACCCACAGGCCAAGTGCAGGTAGCATGGGCATTTGGTTGTTGGCACGCCTTGGGAGGGCGTAGCCGCTAGCTGAACTGGGGGATCCCAGAACACGTCGCCCAGGCCCATCCATGGAATGGCTGAAAGGTGAACCTCTCGGGACCTGTGCTGATCCTGTTCTGCTGTCCGGGGTTTCTTGCTTATCTTGCCGAGCTCCTTTGCCATGGACGGTCCTTGATGACATTGAGACTGGAAATTGGGCATCAAGTGGAGGAAGGGAGGGAGGGAGGGGTGGCCAAAGAAAGGGCCACTTGCAATGTTCTCAGGTCGCCCCCTCCTCTCAACTCAGTCTCTGCCCCGGCCGAAAAAGACGCAGCTGCAGGCGGCAAACAGTAAGTGAGGCTGCCAGCCGACTGACTGGCTGCTGAGTGCTGGTGGGTGGTGCTGATGTGTGCATACCCACCACCATTGACGGCCTCTTGTTTTTTTATTTGGCAATTGGAGCGGGCTTCCATCATGTTTGCTTCTAGGGTTGCATAACGCATCAACCGAGCCGTGGGGTCTGCTCTCGGGAGACTAGGGTCTGGCGCAAGTGTGGGCGGCCAGAGTGAAGGGCCTTGCGAAGTCAGGCAGGCACACAGGCTCGAATTCAAACGTTTGGGCTCTCAATTCCTTGGGCTGGGCTGCCTATTGTCACCACCTCAATCCTCCTGACTTTGGACCCAACATCACCCCCTCGGCCAACCAGCTCTTCTCAATTCAGGAAGAACACCTCTTTCACCCATGGATCGGGAGGGCATGACAAGTCCTCAATTGACCCCTAGCATCCGCCTGCCCAGGAAGCTTGACTGACATCACCTCAAGTCTCCGCGGTCGGTTCGGCAAATAATCCCATCCCATCCCATCCCAAATACCCATGGCCACGGTTCCCCGGCTCGCTGGCTGTCTATGGCGGCCCAACATGACGGCGCCGCGGTCCAGCGACGCCCAATGTTGACGTGCGGTGTAGCATTGACAGCCTGTCGACTGTGACGACCGCTGTCACGGGTCGATGCGCCCGCCACGCCGGTGCCGTCACCGAGTCCCCTGCGACGACAGCATCATCTCGCTGCGAGAGCCATCACACAAGACAGCTGGCGTCCTGTACTGTGTGGTGGAGGGGGGGACATCCCTGCAGCCTCACGAACACCTTTCGCTCCCCTGTCCGAGCCCTCGCTGTCGTCCTTCCTCCCCCATGCTTCTCTCCTTTTTTTTTTTTCCTCTTCCCGTCTCCCGGTTTGCCTTTTTTTTCTTTTCTTCTTCTTTCATGCACGTGGTCAGCCCGGCATAGGAGGGTAGGTCGGTATATCATGCCCGGATGCCAACGCAAGGCGGACAGAGGCAGGCGTCATACATGACTAGTCAGCGACCTGTCGTGGCTTTTGTCAGGACATGGCCGGAGGGACCGGCCGACGACACACCGGCCTACCAGATGAGACTCGATAACCCGACGCACAAACACCACACACCACACAACACACACGCGCACACACACATATATATATGTATATACACACACACACACACACACATGCACACCTCCCAAAAACGGCCTCTCACCCTCCCGCCAAGCCTCAGAACCGTCAGGGTGAGCGAGGCGGTCTCAATGATGGTTGCTGCAAGCGAGTGGTCGCCTGCAAGGCAACATCTCCTGGGCACCGGGAGAGTCGGAGAGCAGACATGATGCCTGCTACCCACGTACCTCTACATGGTGGCATCATCAAGTGAGTGAGTGCCTCCCACTACTGAATTACAAATTGGCTCCCCAGTCATGAGAAAGACATTGCAAAGACGCAAAGAAGGAAGGTACGGCGGCCTTGGAATTGTCAATAAGGCAAGTCACACCGGACCCGTGACCGGCGAGCAAAGTGGAATGGGAGGAGGGTCCATGGCGCTGCACCACCCGGCATCCTGCAGTGCCTCCTCCTCCTCATCCTCATCTCCGACAGGCCGCCCGCTCTTCCCCTTTCTTCCACTCCCCACTTCAACGTCTTGTCCTCTGGCGCAAGCCGAGACGGCCAGCCATGCTCTGCCTAGAATCGGGTGTGGGGGAGGTGCAGCCGAGGGGGCCGAGAAAGCCCAACCAAAAGCTCGAACTTGGTGCAAAAATATGGGCTCGGCCTGCTGCTAGCAGGGGGCGAGAAGCAAAGACGGGGGACGGCAAATAGGGCGAAAGGAAAGCAAACAGACCGCAGGATGTGGGGTGCGGGCGGCCGCACTGTCCAGACGGGCTGGCCATTCCGCTCGCTCTGCGCGTGCAGGCTTATTGTCTGCCGCCCGTGGGGGAGGCCTTGAGCCGCCAGCCTGCGGCTATCAGTGGCTGGGAGCATCATGCCCCCCGTCCGCCCGTCTCTCCCACCAGTGTCGAGGCAGGGCGGAAGCGAGGGCGAAAATGCCTTGGAGACAGGATAGACATGCTTCTGCATGGTGCTACCTCAACCAATGCGGGCCCTGCACCGAGGATGTCTGTCTCCTTTTCTCTCCCCAAATCCAATCCGGGGTTGGAAAGGGTGGAACGACATGCAGATCCTCGTGGGGGGGAAGATGCAGAGTACAAGGACAAGCCACAGCAGGAGCAGCATGGAGAACAGAAAGGATGGTTGCGCGAATGGAGATGCTCTTACTGACCGCGCCTCTTCGGAAGCCCGCATGCGGTAATCCAGGCCTGACGGCGAATGAAGGGAGAAAAAAGAAGACTCCGCCCCATTGCGCGTCCACCCATCATCGCTGACCGCTCACTCCTGATAGGTTGGTGGTAGTATATCGACGGCATGCATGAGTATGTTACGGTTGGGGGTTGCCGCCGGCAAAAAAAAGAAAAGAAAAGAAATCTATGGCACAAAATAGTATTACAAAAAAGAAAAAAAAATGCTTTTCATGATAGGAGTGGGAGGGCCTTTGCGTGTTAATTGCTCGTTTTTTTTTTGCCTCATAGCTGGGCCCCCTGCAGCCCAGGGTATAAACGCCTCAAAACGTATGCTCTAGTTTCGATTCTTGTTTCGTCGGTGTCCACCCCTCTTCTTCGTCGCTCGTGAGGCCCAACTGAGGCTGCCGCTCACAGGGCACAGGCGTCTCCCCCGCGGGGGAGTGAGGGAGATGAAATCAATGGAGAGTGGGGAGAAAAAAGAGACGAGGGAGAAAAGCGCCAGCCTTCGAGGTTCCACGAAATGGAAGGGCTGTTGTGGGCTCGTTCGTGGGTTCCGGCTGGCCATGTTTGCCGGTGACTCCTTTTTTTGACGATGGCGCTTGTTTTCTCCACACGCCAATCAAGGTCGGGAGATCTCCACTTGCGGCCTAATCGTCCTTGCTGCTCTGCTCCGAGTCCTTGGACGACTGGCCATGCTCCTTCTTCCACTCGCAGATCTTACACGCGTTGGCCTTTTCGCGGTCCAGGTTGGGGAAGACGAGGTCGAAAACTTCGGAGAACCAGTTGACAGGACGGCCCTCGATGCCCTCCTTGATATTCTGTGGGGTACGTACGCACCTAGGTTAGCAACTGGGAACTGATGCTCGGAAAATGTGAGGCGAGATAAGGTGGCAGAGAAGGAAGAAAAAAAAGGCACATACCTCGGGAAGCTCAAGCCAATCCGACATGTTGTCCTGTGGGAAGATGATCATGTCGCAGCCAGCCCGCCGTGCCGCCACCGTCTTCTCCCTCAGGCCGCCGATGCGTAGGACTTTGCCCGTCAGGGTCAGCTCGCCAGTCATGGCGACCGTGGGCGCCACTTGCGTGTCCAGCGCCAGCGAGAGCAGGCTCGTCGCCATGGTGATGCCTGCCGACGGCCCGTCCTTCTGCACCGCCCCCTCGGGCACGTGGACGTGTATCTTGGCCTTGTTGAAGAAGTGGTTGTCCGGGAAGGTCTTGGCCATGTGCGACTTTGCAAACGAGTACGCGATGGCTGACGACTCCTTCATGACCGTCTTGAGGTTGCCCGTGATCTCGAGCGACGGCCTCGTGCTGGGTCGCAGCGCCGCCTGCAGGATCGACTCGATGTACATGGCGGCACCGCCCATCTGCGTCCAGGCCAGGCCCATGGTCACGCCGGGCGGCGTCACGTCGTAGAGCCTGTCCGACGTGAAGACCGGCGGGCCCACGTAATCCTTGAGGCTGTCCTTGTCGATCGTGACATGGACGCTGTCGGGAACCTTGAGCGCCGCCCGCGGCTTCTCGGCTGTAGCCTGGGCAGTGCCCGTCGCCTCGGCCGCCGCCGACTCCTCGCTCTCGGACTTTTGCGTATCCTTCTCCGCCTCCTTCTCCTTCTGGGCCTGTTCCTCTAGCGCCGCCTTGCCCTCGTCCGTGAGAGCCTCCGACTCGGGCAACACGTCTTCGCCGAGTTCCTGCACGATCTTCAGGGCCGATTTCCGGTAGACCTTCTCGATCTGCTTCTTCAGATTTCTAACTCCCGACTCGCGGCAGTATGACTTGATGAGCTCCTCAATGGCGTCGTCGCTCAATGTCACGTCGGCTTTGTCGAGGCCAGCGAGCTCTTTGGCAGCGGGCGCAAGGTACTTCTGCGCGATGGCCATCTTCTCGTCAGAGACGTAACCCGAAAGCCGAATCACCTCCATCCGGTCAAGGAGGGGCCGGGGGATGCTATCTGTCATGTTCGCCGTGCAAACGAACAGGACTTTGGAAAGATCGACGGGCACGTCCATGTAATGGTCGAGAAAGGATCCGTTCTGCTCCGGGTCAAGTAGCTCCAGCAGGGCTGATGACGGGTCACCCTGGTATCCGCGCCCGATCTTGTCGATTTCGTCAATCAGGATCAGGGGGTTCTCGGTCTGGCACTTCTTCAACGCCTGGATCACGCGTCCAGGGAGAGCGCCGACGTATGTCCTCCTATGACCCTTGATCTCAGCAACATCGGTGAGTCCACCGACACTGAACCTGTAGTATTCCCTGTTAAGGGCCCGAGCGATCGACTTTCCTATACTCGTCTTTCCGACTCCTGGGGGGCCAACGAAGCATAGGATTTTGCCTTCAACAGTTCCGCGCAGCTTCCCGACGGCGATGAACTCCAGGATGCGGTCCTTGACATCCTTGAGGCCGTAGTGGTCCTCATCCAGAACCTTCATTGCGTTTTGGATACCAAAGTTTTCTGCACTCCTCCGGCCCCAGGGGATCTGCGTCAACCAGTCCAGGTAGTTGCGCGTGACGTTGAACTCGGACGCCGCGGGCTCTAGATGGGCTAGCTTGTTGACCTCGTCGTCAAAAACCTTGCGCACCGCATCTGGCATGGCCAAGCTGTCTGCCTTCTCCCTGAACTTTTCTACGAGCTTGTCCTTGCCGTCCGATTCGATGCCAAGCTCACGGCGGATGCCCTTCATCTGTTCCATGAGCCAGTACTCTCTCTGCCGCTTCGTGATCTTGTTCTCCACATCCTTTGAGATCTTGGACTGCAGCTGCGCATTCATCAACTCCTTCTTGAGCACCACAAGAGCCTTCTGCATCCGATCTTCCACGTTGAGGCTCGAGAGGACCTCTTGCAGCTCCTCCGGGTCACCAGCCGATACGGCAGCCGCGAAATCTGCAAGCTTCGCAGGCTCTGCCGTCACATTTCCGGTAGACTGGCTCATGGAGAAGGTGGAGATCTGGTCCCGAAACAGGCTGTTCATTGTGGCGACCTCCTTGAATACGTTGACGATTTCATTGGTCACCGCCCTGATCACAGGGCTCTTGGGGTCATGCGGTTCTTCTGCCAGGTTCTCGACATTGACGAGACTGACGGGATATTTTCGCAGGAACGATGTGGCAGTGGGCTCGTTTTGATCCGCTGAGCCTGGCCCGTTCGCCACGGCGCTCTCCTCGAAGCTAGCCACGACATCCCCCTTTTTGTCTTGCGCAGCATCCCCCTCCACGGGTTTTGATGGGATGGGGTCCGGGATAGGGGGCTCTTCCACTGTGTCGGTCTTGGCCTCAGCTGCGCCTGGGGGTATCAGGGTCGAGATGCGAATGCGGCGGTGCGGGTACAGGATAGCCGTGAGGGAGCTGTTCTTCTCCCCGGTGGCGGGGAATGCGCTGGTTATCTGGGCAAAGACTCCCACTTCGTGAACGTCCTCGGGTTTGCGGATAATGTCCTCATCTGAGTTTTCGTCCTTGAACAAGAACGCGCCAACGTACGGCTGGCCCCTCCGGATCATCTCGGTAATGGCAGCGGCGACATTCGGATCCTTAATCGTAATCGCCTTGTAGAATCCCGGGAAGAGTGGCCTTTTGGCAATAGGGATGGCCATGACCTGGGGATACACCTCGGGCACCGTGGGCTTCTGTAGGGCTTTCTCAGCTGCCGACTTGCGCCCTTTCTTGCCTCCGTCGCCGTCTCCAGAGTTGCCGGATGCGCCCCCGGCCGCGCTAGAGCCCTTGCCGTCGCGCGCTTCGGGTGTCCCCTGGCCGCTGGAAGCAGGCGGTGATGAGTCCTTCGCCTCAGAAACATCCTTCTCCTTCTTCTCCTTCTCTTGTAGTTCTTTCGCGCGCGCCTCCTCCGAGTTGGCTTTTATCTCCTCTTCGGATAGTGGTTCTGTCGTGTCGAAGAAGCCGTCATCCTTCTTCTTCTTGAGGGCGACAGGTGATGTGGACAGGTTTGATCTCAGCCTCAGGGGCCGGAGCTCGCCGCCCAGCTGGGACGAGGTAAGCGGGCGTCGGCTTAGCCGTGGAGGGGCATTTGTCGTCGAGTATAGCCTTTGGATGGCATGGGATCGCGAGGAGCCGGTGTGTCGAGACAGGCCCCGAAGGGCAGCTGGGCTAGCGGCAACACGCTGCCGAAGGAGCATGACGGGCGATACAGGCTGCTATACGGTCCTTGAGCTGGATGACGCTCTGCTAGGACTGGCAGAGTTTAGAACCAGCAGTATGCGCACTATGACCCGCCAGCACGGAGAAATGTCAGAGGCGCAGGAATTAGTTTGCGGCTGCGATGGAAGCCGCTAATGTGAACAGCAGAATGGTGCCGTTGACGGGCTTTGGTGCACATGGAAGAAACGAGAACCGCTTGGTAATCGGCTCGCAAGGTTGCCGACTGGCCTATGCATGCGCATGGAGAAAAAAATCCACAATGCCGAGCAGCTTCTTCAAGGATGCAGCCTTGTCTCCAGCCACAGGTAGGGCGAGCTTCCGCCACAGCTCTCAGCTATGACGACAGGCGGCATGCCAAGTTGTGTCCCCCCACACCTCCCGAAATGAGGCGTTTGGGGACGGATGGAGGCGAGGAATATTGAGCATGCCCATCTGCCAACCTGTTGAAATTGAGAGACCCGACCTGCGATGGGAACAGCGATGACAGCTGGTAAAGCGTGCCTACGCTATCTGCCCCACCGTTCTAGTGTAGTCTTAGACGCGCGGCCTAGCTGCCGCCCAGGAGCACTCACAATTATGTGCTGGCTTGAGCCCCGTGACCCGAGCTGACACCCCTGGCCCCCCACAGGCAGGCACCCGATTTCCATAGCACCAGCTGCGGGGTGAACGTTAGTGGGCAATGGAGCCCCCTTGCGAACCTCCTCCATTACTCCGAGCCACCCCGCATGAATGGTCAGGAATGAGCATGTATATATGCGCGTGAGGCTTGCGACCAACAAAACCATCTTTTAAACTTGTGCTATCTCGGCTACAGCTGACGGTGTCATTGAGAGCCTGGCCTAGCTGTGCCCCCTCACTGCCCAAGCCCCTTTTACAAAGGCCACCACCCCCGAGCCGTTCCGTATTTTATTCTTGGCTCACCCCTAAATATTACCATATAACTTCTGCAGCTGCAGGACCCCAGTGTCTGTGGGGTGAGGCTCAGAAGCGACCTGTCTTCTTTTGCTGGCCACGATCGTGCTGCTGGCCTTGCCATCCAGTCTCCCGTCGCACAATCCCTTAGGTCTTTTGCAGACGACCAGCACTGCACATCCTAGCAGGAACCTCGAGCGCATCTCTATTTTTTATTGTCTCCGTTCTGTGTCGTCGGAGTAGAACGCAGGCGCAGCGGCACGATCATGTCTACTACAACCCGCTCAACCGAAGATGTCGTCGCGTCTGTCGCGAAGCTGACGATCGCCCCAGCAAGCGACTCGAAAGGGCCCAAGCCGGTCTTTAAGACAATAAAGTCCAAGAAAAAGCAGGTGGCAGACTCGTGGGAAGACGAAGACATTTCTTCCGAGTCTGATGCCGAGGGCAGCGCCGCAGATGACGGCCGTCCATCTCCCGCAACTGCCGACCTAGATGGCACAAAGGCACCGCCACCGACTCCGGTCTCGTCCGATTACAAAGTCTCAACGGGCGGCACGCAAGCGCCGCCCCCGACACCCATAAATCCCAGCCATCAGAGCGCTTTCTTCAAGGGCAGCCAGCCTAGCAGCATATCCGCCGCGCTGAGCAGCGTCGAAGAGGAGAAGCGACCCGAGAAGACCGATGCTGCGGCGCGCCGTATGATTGCCAGTGCACTGGGTGTCAAGGTTCCCAGGCAGACTGAGGAACAAAAGGCGTATGACAAGGCGATGCGCGAGAAGGAGCGCAAACGAAGGGACGACGAGCGCGAGGCTGAGAGGAAGAGGCTCGAGGAGGTCGAAAAGGCGAAGCGGGCGGTCTGGGAGGACTGAACAGGATTTGAGGTTTTGTACAGTACAATAACTGCCAGGTGTTTTCTCTGCTTCCCACCTGCTGGAATTCTGGTATTCCCGAAATCTCTTCAACTGCTCCGCGCATATAACACATCTGCACGTGCTTGAACCCGTGGCCGCAGCAAATCGGATGTTTAGCCGCGGTCGAGGCTTGCTGAGACGCCCAGCGAGAGCAAAGTCACCTGTCTGGTTTCTGTTGCGCAGAAAACAGACGATATAAGCCGCTTTAAGGTGGTGATGTGTCTGCCCGCAACCGCTCATGATCCAGGCATGGCCATCAGGACGCAAGAGGAGCTCCCCTGAAACTCAGCGCTACCTGGCTATCACCGTTTGCGCCGTGCTGCATTGTGACACCCAGGTTGCTCAAGCCTTGGTCAACAGCGCCAGCGTTCCATAGCATCTGCTGAACCTGGCCTAGTTGCGAGCAAGTGATGAACCCCATGGGCCACCTGCTGCGCCCCAGAGATTCCCGGACGCCCTTAGACGCGGGCTGCTGCGTGGCAAGGAAGCCGACGACATTGCGCCCGCGCCAGCCGGTGGGCGCGCCCACGAAGGCGCCCTCTAGCTCCCGGATGTGATGGGGCAGGGCCTTGCGCGACATGGCCTTGCACTGCAGCAGCACCTTGAGAGGCGTGGGGGACGAGGGCACGGTCCAGGTGCCCAGGAGGTCGATGCCGAAGTCGGAAACGCCGCCGACGCGCCGCAGCGAGAAGCCGTACCGTGAGAGGCTCCTCATAACCGTGTACTCGAAGTGGGTGCCGACGTAGATTGTCGAGCCTGGGTCCAGGCCTGTGCGCTTGGCATGCTGCAGGAACGAATCCAGGCACTGGTGCTGTGACGTTGCCGGCTCAGGGTAGTGGAGGGTTTCGCTGGAGGCTGGCGTGCTGGCGCATGGGTGTGATGTACTGCTGAACCAGGCTCGAAGGCGACCGAGACTTGTCGGCACGACGAGCCTCGTTGGGATGAACATGCTACAAAGGCCAAGCAAGTGGGCGGACAATTCATGTATAGGTAATCTCTTCCACCAACACCTTGGGCACGACTCGGAGACAAGGAATGAGATTATACAAATGATCAATTTGACTGCCTGCCTGTTTTCATGCTCCACTGAATCAAAGACCCCTGTAAGGTTTTTGTCGGCGCCCCAGCTGAAGCCCCGCCTCGCTGCATTCAGCTGCCGCAATCGCACCAGACACCCGCACGCCCTCGACTCCAATTGCCTTCCCGGATTCCAGTCCCATCGCGAAAACACGACAACTGCCCGCGGTCCACGCGAGCCGCCATCGCCATGGGAGACCGCCTGACCCAACTCCAAGATGCCGTCGACCAAGTGAGAAGCTCTAGGCGCCCCGAAAATATATGTGACTGCACCCTTGTGATTGGCTTTTCTGGCTGACCCCTCACCATTACAACAGCTCGCGCAGCAATTTGTAGCGTGCCTCTATTACCTCCACAAACGACACGATCTCGAGACGTTGGGCCCGGATGACAAGATTAGAGAGCTGAAGCCAGAGGATGACCCGAAGGAAGGTGCGCATGTCATACATACCACCAACCCCCCAGAAATACATGTCGTTGCGGGCGGAATTGTGCTAATGCAGCGCGCGCCTTACCAGTCGAGCCCGTGCCCGCCGACGAGTTCAAGGCCGGCCAGCTCGAGCTGGCGCGGGACCTGATTCTGAAGGAGCAGCAGATCGAGATGCTGATCTCTACCCTCCCCGGCCTCGACAACAGCGAGCAAGACCAGGAGCGCAACATCAAGGAGCTCGAGGAGGAACTCAAGGTTGCCGAGGCCCAGCGGCAGGACGCTTTGAGGGAAAAGGAGGAAGTCCAGGCAAAACTCGATCAGGTCATAAGAAGCATAAAGCGCCCAGCAGCAGTCAGCTGGTAATGGCCCGAGCCACCGAGCCAAGTCCAGCACTTGGCCCTTTTTTTTCCCGAACCGCCGAGCCATGATTACTGTCGCGCACCAAGCCCACCCAGGTCGCCTCCACGCTACGACTCCAAAGCCTATGAGATCCGCGGTCTTCCGACACGATGAGCCTGACTGCCCATCTGGGACTTCTTTGTCGTTTGTCTATTGAGGATCTATCATTTCACTTTGGCATCGGATTACAAAGAAGGGCACCCAGGCTACTCGCCCGGCGCGAAAGCTTCGGGAAAGACGATCCGCAGCTCCTCCAGGTGACGTACCTGGTGCTTTGAGGCCGGAGTGCGTGGTACCTTCGATCCCTCCTCAACCAGGTGCGCTGTGTGCCACCCAATCTCCTGGGCCTTCTTGCAGTTCTGGTACGAGTCGTCTAGGGAGAAGGTTAGATGGGAGAAAGAGTAAGGTGGTTTTAGATACTAGACCCCGAAAGATGGAACCACATGAAGGAGATTTTTCTCTCAAACCCGCTTGGGCCAAGTGGAAAAAGAGATAGACTTACCAACGAAATAGCAGTCGTTGACATCCTCTACGCCTGCCTCTCTCATGGCTTTGGCAAACATGTCCTCGTGAGGCTTGCAGAGCAGTGGCTGGGCTCCATAATCGCAGAAGGTGATGCCATCGAACTGGTCTTCAACCTCGAGAAGGCGGATGACACGGCGGCCATGGGTCACGTAGGCGTTTGTGAAGAGCCACAGTCTGAACTGAGACCGATCCACATCCTGGAGTAGCTTCCGGAGCTGCGGGTTGGGTTTGATGATGCCCTCGAGAGGAAGAGCATCCTAGGGCGGCCGGCCACAACTCTCGCGTGAGCTAAGGTTGGCCTAGCCCACGTTTTCGGGGTCTGGCTTTACCACTTTGATAGCCACTGTCAGGGCAGGTCACTCACATCAACTTTGGAGTTGTATTCCAACGGGTCGATCTCATGATGGCGCACAAGACCCTCGATAGCAAGGCCATAGTTTTGGTAGTACTCTTTGTGGAGGCGCACGGCCTCGTTGTAGGATAAAGAGAGGTGCTTGGCGAAGTACTGGTCGATCAGGTCGGCCATGAGATCATGGACCTTTGCGCCTGGAAACAAGGCGTCTTAGTGGAGTTCCCCTCGGCGGTATTTGGACTCCACCAACTTACTCTTGGGATACAGGCAGTTGTCGATGTCGCTGCGATGAGGGAGGCTGTGTTAGTTTGGCAAGACCGGGAGAAATAGCGCGTCGGCAATGATACTTACAAGAAGAATACCTTCTTAGGACGATCAGCCCCGTTTGCAGCGGCTGTACCAGACTCCATCTTGAATGCCTGAGTGTAGGAGCCGAAGGGACGCCGGGTTTGGGGCGTGGAAAACGGCTGGCTGCGTGGATAAAGTGCCACAAGCGTGCCTCGTGCTGTTGAGATGGTGCCCAGTTGACGCTGCGATTGAAAGACTCTTGTGCGGACTGAAAATGATGACAATAGACTTAGGATCTTTATGCATAAACAGCATCTACCCCCTGCGGCGTCTTTATAGTAACCCTCCAAGAATCGGAGTGGTGCGCGAGTCGATTTGAGTCACGCCGACGCGCGGGTTCTGGAATTGGAGGAACAATATTGGCCCCAACTTGTCGGTCGTGGGCAGCCCAAACCCCCGTTACATCAACGGACAGGATTAGTGGCACCTGATACTGAGTTCACTCGCGAATAGGTATCCCTTTTCAGACGGGAACTACTCTTTCCTCTTGCCGTCTGCCTCCCATCCAGCATTTTAATTTCGTGATCTGTGCAAGAACATTCATCTCAAGTTTTGTGTCTCCTTTCCCTTGCCAACAGGACCCAATCAACAATGGACGCGGTTGGAACAGCGGGGAATGTAGTTCAGGCTAGCTCTTCTAATTTTATTCTCATTACTTGCCTTTAGACATTCACCCTCGAGATGCTTCAGGATCAAGAAAGCCATTTCATTTCACCCGTAACCTCAGCATTTCTAACCAGCTCCTGTCGGGCTGACATCGGCTGGCACCAGCCAATAGACGCCCCTGGATAGAGTTAGAGCATCGCCCCACCGGCTTGCAGCTGGGGGCGGTCAATGTGGGTCGGCAAGAAATCTGCCACACCAAATCCGAGTCGAGCACCCGAAACCTGCCTGGGTAATTTCCCATTACAACGAAAACCCACACAGAGACAAGCGCGCGTCGCCACCTCACAAAGCTGCACTCTAGCCATGGCGGAGCGCTCTCTATTTAACACCCTCTAGATCTCTCCTTTTCCGCCATCATCCTTAGACGCCTCGCTCTCTGCGCTGATTCTTTCTTGTCTTCTTCTTGGTCTCGCTCGTTGTCTTCGGCTGCCCAAGGTTTGCTGACGTGCCAGTTTCGTGTCGCTTTTTGCTCCCATCCGGAATCATGGCTCAGGCGCAGGTGGCCTCGATGCCATCGGCCATCAAGATGGCTGCCGCCCCGTCATCGTTACCGAAAGACGAGCTCCGTCAGATTGAGGAGTATGGTAGAATCATCAGCTTCCGCGACAGGGTCTTGTCTGGGAAGCACCCGACCATCAAGGTTCCCGCACATTTAGCAGGTGCAAAGTCGGCTGCCTCGAGCCAGCCGATCGCAACGGCATCACCGCCAACGGCGGCTGCTATCTCTGCCAGTGCCACAGCCGCTACCGCTTCCCATGCCCATCCTACCCCATCGCCAGGCCGCCAGGAGAGCCGCAACGGCGCCGTGGCGAACCGCCAGGCCCTCCAAACGAACTCCATGCAGCCGCCTGTAACGACCAACTTCCCTGGTCTAGGGTCGCTCCCTGCCAACGGGCGTAGCAGAGGCGTGGCCTCTGCCGCTCCAAATGACGCGCCCGTGAAGCTGTTTAATCCAGCAAGGGCTGAGATCAACCCCATATTCCTTGAGAAGTCAGATCACCTCGTCAAGACAGAGATACAGCTTCAGCGGCAGCGTATTGAGCGGGCGTTGCGGGAGCAGCTGGAGCAGAAGCGCTCCTCGGGCGGCGGGGCGTTGCAGCCAAGCGAGCCGCTTCCAGACTTCGATCTGATGGATGTGTTGCAGAAGGCCCTTGTGCTTGTCGAGCAGACTGCTCCTCCGTCCACTGACGCAAATGTAGCCGCTAACAACAACCCCGAGGACTCGGATTCTTTTGACGAGAACACCTTCTACTCGTCTCAGTTCGATGATTCCCCCAGCTCGGCCCATGTTGCGCGCATCGCAAACAATTCAGAGCCCCAGGACGTGGATATGCGCGAAAGCCCAGACTACGAGCCCGAGCCCAGCGTCTCCATCATTCCTACCTCTACAGCCGAGCCACGGCCGGCCGTCCCCGAGAAAGCCACCAGGCCTCTGCACAAGGCACCACCACCTCCCAATCGCGCGTCCCCGGACATGCCAGCACCCATCCCATATACGGGACAACCTACCTCGGATACGCGGCTAGACAGGCTAGGGCTAGCTCCCGCGCCTGCCTCGCTCAGGAGACCCTTTAGCCACCAAGTTCAGGTTGTGAGCTCACATGACAGTGGTGACGCAAGTGGCTCTACTGGGTCGGGTGTCAACACAGACAATGAGCAGAGTGCGGATGATTTGCGAAGTCAGGCCAACGGCCTTGCCCGCAATGCCAACGCGTTTGAGGGTGGTTGTCCCGCGGTCGTGCGCGCACATGACCTCTCGCCTTTGGCACCCCAGCCGTCTCACGTATCACCTCTGGCCACAGCCAGAAACCCCCCCGAAGTTGGACTTGAAAGGCAAGCACTCCAGGGAGCTCCGGCCCAGGTGGCAGCCCTGCGGAACGAACCGACGGCAGTGTCGAGCCCAGAGAGCTCACCCCAAGCCGGTAAAGCCAACGACAAACGTAAAGGGAAGAAGAAGAACAAGAGGAAAGCGGACCGCGAGGCGGTTGATGCATCTCCGTATATTAAGAACGAGCCTCGCTCGCCTTCTCCTCTTTCCGCCGCGCCGGCTGCCCGGCCACACAAGCGGTTGCGACCGATACAGCGACCGATGGAGGCTCTCAGCTATGACGAGCCGGCATATACTGTTCCACCAACAGATGGCTACAGCGACAGGCACGGTGGACAGATTTACCATGAGGAGGCGCCACGGATCGTCTATGAGCGACGCGATAGTGCCACCGTCCGCGATGGAGGCGCCCCACCAATCACCGCATCGACTTCACTGCACTACGAGCCCGATGTCTATGAAGTTCGCAGACCGCCGACCACTACCCAGTTTGTTCGCGAGTCCGAGTCGTCCGGCCTATACCCTACACAGTACGGGCCTAGCGAACCTCGGCTAAGGTCAGTTTCCCACACGGTAGTTGATCGTCCTTACCGCGAAGCCCCCATCTACTACCGTGATGTGAGGGACGAGCCGCGCATGAGTGTGCGACCGGCTGCAGAGCGGAAGCGATCACGGTCTCCAATCATGCGGGAGGTGCGTGGCCCAACGATGGCGCCTCCTCCGCGTGCCCAGGCAACTCGCATCTACATTGACGAGTTCGGACGGGAGTACATCGAGCCACCCAGGTCGTCTGCCGTCGCCAGGCAGTCGGTTGCCCCATCCAGTCGCCCTGTGGGGAACATTGTCTACGATCACCCCCCACCCCCAGCCCGTGCAGCCTCGCGAATGTCCGAGCCGTATGGTGACGGCGTCATATACAGACGGGTGTCATCTCCGGCCTACGCTGCGCCCAGGCGAGTCATCACCGAACCGGAATACGTCGGCGGCGACTACCGGGCAGCGTACAGACAGAGGGAATACGCACCGCCACAGGCCGGGCCTCATGTTGCCGAGGAGTATGCCCAGACTCGCCCAGCTCAGGAAAGGCAACCAGTAGATGATCCGGGTCACGCTCGGGATTATTTAACCAGGGCGGCGAGTGTGCGACCCGCAGAGCCGGTCCGATACGATATCTCGGGCCACTACGGTGAGAGGCCGGGCAGCGTGCGTCCTGAGCTGATACGCGAGTATGGCGTTGCTGCTCATCCCGAGACCCGCAGAGAGGTGGTCCATCAGCAGTTCGCCCGCGAGTACAGCGTGCGACCAGAGGCTCAGGTTATTCAACGCCCCTATAGCACAAGACCTGTGGAGCAGCACACGGCGTACTACGAAGGCTCGGTCCGGCGTAACGAGGAGGTTGCGGCCTTCATTGAGCGGCCTCGTGGAGGACTGGAAGGCGTGGTTTACACAGAAGCACCCCGTCGCGAGGCCTATCGCTGAGCGAGGCGTGGAAAAAGGTGGACAATAGGCCAGCCCATTGGTGGAGATCGCATTTGAATACTTTATGTGCTCGACAAAGCCCCTCGGCTGGCTGATTCGCCTGATATTTTATGGTCATGGGCGGGAGACGAAATGTAATTCAGCTGGGCGTTTTGCACTGATGCAGCGTTCCCTCCGTTTCGTTCATTGTCTTCAATTCTACCCTGCTGTGGGAGGCGCATTGTATAGCAAGTAGCGAATAGCGTTGTGATATTTTTGCATTTTCTCGCGCTCCTTTTCCTCCTTTTGTTTGCACTTCGGTCGATTCATCGTCCACACAGATTCTCGTTGACGGTGCCAGAATGTATTCGAGCGCCTGGGACACAAGATAGTATTTGGCCTCTGTATCGGCAAGCCCGTTTCACAGGTGCGAGTAAGACACAATATGTGTTTCCCCAGGTGTCCAAGCTCGGCAGGGCGAAGGTCTGTGTTGGGAAAGTGAGATCATGGGCCACGATCCCATGTCTTGGCGGGAACCCGGCTCAGGCTTGGACCCCGAAGCCAGCGTTTACCCACCTCACTGCCGTTGGGCGGGACGAGCATCCGGCAGGGATCCATGTGCGATCTCACTTTTTTTCCCCCTCTCCTCTGTGCTATTCTCTCGCCTTTCGTTTCCGGGCGAAGTGATGATGCCGTGACTTGAATCCTTGGCATACTTGCGTTACATTCCAACCACCCCGGATGCTGATCTACTCGCTGTCTTTGTAGTTTGACCACTTTTTTTTCTGCGATTCATCTGAGGAACACGCGTATTTTCTCACCCTTTCCCTTTTGCAACCCGCCATGACCACCTCACAAGCCAATCCAAGCTTCCTGACACAAACCTCAAAGTATGCCCTAGATACACCGCCAAGCCCATGCTGCAGCGCCATAACGGAATAGTAGTCGGACTGTTGTTGTATCCCTATTTTTTTCATCAGCTGGAATCGCTCCAAACAGCTTCTCGGTAACACGGACCAATTGCGCCAAAACAAGGTTAGAACGCCCCCACCGCTCTCCAAGCCCAGGAGGGCGCGAAATACCGGCGCTAGCACCCACCCATCCACAGGGGCCTGTAACACCAACCAGCCAACCTGATCTCACCTGCTGACGTGCATTACGCGTCGTAGCCCAAAAGGCGGGTGGTGGGAGGAAGGTGGCTCCGACAGGCATCGACAGCCCACTCGCTTCCATCCCAGAGCTTTGCCGCCGGGCAGACACGATCGTGTATCGGGGCCAATACCCACATCGATAATTGGCAGATGTATGACAGGTGGTGGGATGACAGGGAAACATTAAAAAAACACACAATGACCAAGTGCCCTCTCAGAAAAATACGTTGCACACGTGATGGCGTACAAAGAGAGTGCTTTCAGCTTGGCGTCGCGGATTTCCCTTTCTTCTTTCTTTAGTCCTCAGGTCGAGAAAAGATAAAAGTGGTGAGATGCGCAAGAGGCCCAGCAAGGATGTACCCAAGGTCAAACTCCGGCTGCCGGCTTACAGAGTTGCTGAGGCCGAAGCTTACTCCGAGGTGGGATCGTCAAGAGACGGGAAGTCTGTGTAGACTCCGGAGAGTGGCAGCGGAAGCCCTGGCCCGGTTCGTCCATACTCGGCGGCACACAGTCTCCCATCCCTCTTTTTTTCCCTCACCTTCCTTCTTTTGAATCTTTCGGGCGTCTTTTCAGGGCTCATCCAACTTTGATGGTCCACTCATAACCACGCAGACGCAGGATGCCCGCTGCGCGGTTTTGAAAGGACGTGGTGCCATGGTGGCCCCCCTACCAGACGGCCCCCACACCTCCAATAGGGCGTGGTCGTGACCCTGCCCTCTGTGTGCGAGCGGGCTTACACGAGCCATCCTTGCTGTGTGTCGGCCCACTCTGGAGCCATCCAAGTCGGTGACGTGCCCGAGGCTCAGGCCCGAGGCTCGAGGCTCGAGGCTCGAGGTTGATAACAGAGCTGTCACCTGTGGCCTTGTGGCGCCAGCCAGCCAGCCAGCCACAAAGGTATGCCCTGGGCGGCGGGCGAACCAACGCGTGCGTGGTGATGGACGGCCAGGAATAGTATCGAGATGGGAAAGCCAAAGGGTTCGTTGGAGGCATGGAGCCGCGGGCTGGCAACGCCCGGGGCCCCAGGGCCACGGCGAACCATTCGATGACTGAGAAGGGCTCGGGTGGGGTGCTGCTGTATGTACTGTATGTAAATCGTGCGTGCCGTGCCAACTTCGGATGTCGCCAAAAGGTCAAAGTCACTCTCACCCACCCGCGTAGCAGCAAGGCAGCACAGCAAGCAGCAAGCCGCACAAACGCCCCCTTACGTAATCCACGCAGGGCAGGGCTTCGAGACGTCAATTTGATGTCGGTTGAGCGCCAAACAATTGAGTGGGCCTCATTGGAAGCAGTGGCACGCTGGGCCCCAACCTAGACCGGGGGCTGTTGATCAAATTGCGTGCTGCGCCCGCCCCCGAGGCCACCCAGAAGCCACGCCCAGCGCTCACTGGCCAGAGGCCAACCTTGGACCTAGCTTCGCACCCTGGCTGGGTACAGCCAACCTAACCGCACCGAGGGCAAAACTTAGCTTTGGGCGACCTGGCACCCAAGGTTGTGGAGACTGTGCGGTGGTGCGCTGCAGCAGCAAGCATTCTGCGTCCTGCACGCTTTTGAGAGGTTCCCTTCTGCTGATTGACGGCAACCTTCTGCCACACTTTCCAAGCCTGTGCAGGGCAGACTCAAAGACTCGTCGATTGCCCGTCTGCTCAACTCTCGCTTTCAAAAGGACCCTCCACATTCCTTCGTCCTTTTCCCCCCTCCCACACCGCACCAGCAAGGAAATTGGAAGGAAAGGAGCCATTGCCAGAATAGCCTCCTCTCCTGCCCTTCCCCTCCCCTGATCCCCCTCTCTTTTCTTTTTTTTCTTGTTCGTTTTTCTTTTCCTTTTTTGTTTTCTGTTCCCGCTGGTCCTTCCGCGGTGTAGATACCCCCGATACCCCCTCCTTGTTGTCCAAGACTGCGTGCCTCGTCGGCTGTTGGTGATTTCTTCCATGCACATGCGCCCTTTGCCTCGCCCTCTGTCGCCGCTGCTGCCTGTCGAATTCGCCCATCCGAGTCGCGCTGCCGCTGCTGCTGTTGCTGCTGCTGCCGCCGCCGCCATCCCGTCGTCGAGCCCCAGCCTTCGTCCTCGCGCCTTGCTTTTCCGCCCCACATCATGAACAAGCTGGCAAACATGCGTCACTGGTCCGAGAGGATGAGTCCGGCCAACTTTGGCATGTCGTCGCGTCCAAACGTCCCGATGCCCGCCATCCCGCCTCACCAAAAGGTCGCCTCCCAGGGTGCCCCTCCGCAGACGCCTCCCCACGTCCTCGACTCGCCCATACATTACTCCTTCAACGTCCCGTTCTCTTCCGACCTTGCCGGCCCCAACACCGAGGACATCCTGCACGCCACCGCCGACGCCGTTCTCCGCTGGACGCACCCCGAGGACGCCCCCGACGATGTCCCCGTTTTCGAGCTGCCCGTACACGCCCAGAACCTCGCGAGCCTGCGTAAGCTGTGCAAAGACATCTCGGCCAGCCCGCTGGACATCGAGGCACACGTCATCTCGACCTCCCCGAAGAACATCAAGGGCCAGGTGACCACCGTCTGCCTGTCGGGCGCGCCCGAGCTGGTCTACCGCACCCGAGAGACAATATTAAACGACACCCCCTTGTCTCTTGTACGTTGACCGGCCACCTCTTAACCCCTCGACCCCGGTGGATTGCGGAGATGGGTGACCGTGTTTTGCTTACAATTGAATGCTTTGGCCGCGGGAACAGCGTTGCACGACGGTCGACATCGATGGCGACATGATCCTCGACCCGCAGACGGGTGGGCTCAAGAAGCCCGTGACGGAAACGCTGGACTTCACCTCCAACTTCTGTGGTGTTGATATCTTCCTACTAGGCCCGAAGCTGACCCCGCTGGCCGACGGACTGAACGGTGAAAGTGAGGTCCGGAGGGACCAGCGCTGGAGGCTGGCCATCTACGGCGACTACCTGTCCTCGGAGCACGCGAAAACCCGTGTTTTGATTCACATTGATCAATTGGTCCGGACCCCTTCACCCGGCGTCGTGTGTCGTGCTTGGATGGCCCAGCTAACAGAATCACGGGTCTGCAGCTCGGTCGGATTGTCGACGGCCAACACCTGGAGCTGACGACGCACCAGCCCCTCTGCGGACGCAACCGGAAGAACCTGAAGCTTATCGAGTCGTCCACCAGGACTGCTATATACATGCCACCCTCGTTTTCCAACGTATTCCGATACTGCCCGCCCAACGCCAAGGCCCGCGACCCCAGCCAGATTCTAATCACCGGAGAGGACCCGACGCATATTGAGCTTGCTAAGAAGAAGATCCACGACCTCCTCTCGCGGCTCCGCCTCTTTGTCAAGGACGTCGAGATACCCCCAGAGAAGATCGACACCATCCTGCTCAGCCGCATGGACAAGGTCCAGAAGATCAGCGAGGCGTTCGGTACACACATTGCCTTTCCTCCACTGGGATCACGTCAGACCATGGTGCGGATCCAGGGTCTCGAAAACCTGCACATCGAGCGCACTGCCCGTGAGCTTATGGCACTGGTAAGTGGCCCTCCACCCTCCATGATGCTGTTTTGTGTGTAATGTTGTGAGAAGGTGCAGCATCTGACAGATAGCTTTAGGTCGGCCAATTCTACAGCGGCTTCTGGTCCATCACGCAGCCGGATGGGCGGCAGCACCCCAGCAACCATGACGTTCGGACCATGCTGGGGGACATTTGTGCCAACTCGGATGCCGATGTCTCGTTCCAACGGCTGTCGTTCCGGATCACTGGGTCCGATGATGCAGTCAAGGCCGCACTCATGGTTCTGTCTCAGATCAAGTTTGCGGCGCAGTCGCAGTACCAAATCAAGGTCAAGATCGAACTAGCCAATGAACACAAGGAATTTGTCAGTGGCAAGAAGAACGGCAAGATCAACAAGATTATGGGTCAGAGTATGTACTGGATTGTTCATACTGGTCGTTCCCCAACAGCCTTTCTGTCCCGGGGTTCATATTTGACTAATCACATCATCCACCACACTTGCAGGCAGCGTTCAGATCATGTTCGAGGGCTTCGGAGAATACAACTTCAATATCGATGTCAACGCCCAGTCCTACGAGTCCATGAAGCAGGGCCTTTCACTGGTGGAACAGGAGATGCCGGCATCGATCTCGTTCCATGTGCCTGATCAATACCACAAGCGTATCATCGGGATTGGTGGCCAGCATATCCAGCGCATCATGAAGAAGCACTCTGTCTTTGTCAAGTTTTCCAACGCCATGGACCGAGGTGCGTACAAGCCCCCCCCCCCCCCCCCCCCCCCACCTTTGAGATCTCGCGACCAGCGCCTCTATTCTACAACCAACCCGACATGTGCTAACTAGCATCACAGGTGGCATGCGAGAGGACGACGATATCCGGGTGGACAACGTGATCTGCCGCACGCCGGCACGGAACGCCCAGAACCTCGAGCTTGTCAAGTCGGAGATCCTGGAGATGGTTGACCGCGTGGTACGTTGGCTACGTG